GGAGAAGTCCTTACTGTTGGAATGCTAGTATCTTTTCTTCCTGCTTACTAAATAACCAATCCTCCACTTATGAAAATGACTGTTGTCAAATTATGGCATGCTAGTGCTTCTGCCTAAATTGTAAGAATATAATGAATGGAAGTGTTAGTAAAATATTGCTCGGGAGAGAGTCCTTGAAAGGAGTGGTTATCTGAAGTAATGGCATTATTGCTGCTGAGGAAGATAGGGATAGGAAGATAGGAAGATGCTGAGGAAGGCATAGAACACCCATTGTAAGTAGCTGCAAGTAGATTCTTTCAGTTCATCTTTAGGCATTTTATCAGGAATCTCCACTTTTGCAAGTGGAGAGTAAACAAAACCAAAAGATCTCTGTAGTGTATGGGTTGCAGGGATTCGTGAAATAAAACTGTACAGAACATGGAATGAGACTACAAAAAGCTGCAAATCATGAGCGAATGTATAGACTTTGTCCTTTGCACTTATCTCTGCTGCAACTTGTAATCCTTTCAGAGCACAAGAATGCTGAAGTAGAATTGGAAGAGGAAATTCACTCTGTTCTTCACGAAGCTCTGCATTTGCAGTCTGGTATGCACTAACACTTAGAAATCATTGAAGAATTTATAAATACAGGATAGACAGATCTTAAAATTCTATTTTTGATATGCACTTGAAATTCTTTTGCTTGCCCAGGAAGTCCTAATAAATAGATCTATAATTCCCAAGAAAAAGTTATCAATTTAGTAAGCGAATTCTATTGCTGTGCCCTATTATTCAAGAGTTATTGGGAAACGGTAGTTCATATCACTCAGTTTACAAGATCTTACTCAAAATATACACTTGCAAGTATGAATAAATGGAGATGTTTTTAATGTGTTTTTCCCCATAAATGATTGTGCCACTGCCGAGGAAGTTTAGATATTCTGAAATTATACTGCTGTAAGGGGCAGATGTTTTGTCTGCCCCTGTCCCCTTCAAGGAGTAGCTGAAAAATATTAAAAAGCTCAATATTACTGGTAATAAAATATACCAAAGAGTTGGTATTCTTTAACAGTCTGTATTATTAATTAGGAGAGAGACATGAAGATGTACATGAGAGCGTACATGACCACTGGAGAGCAGGGGAAGACAAACATGACGAAGCTTTTGGAACTCCTGCCGCGGATGACTTGCATGGAGAATTAGAGAATGAAATTTCAGAAGCATATGAGTTGCCAGACTCCAGTCAGAAAGGTATCTGAGAAACTAAACCTAATTCAGGTTACATTTTGGCAGAAATAAGGACAGACAAATGGAAACACGTCTTCTTAAGAACTTAATCATCAATATTAATTTTTACTTGTTTTAGATATTTGGCAAGATCAACCACTGTAAATACCACTTAGCAAATAAATATCAGTCAAAATAGGGTATTTTATTATCATGTGTTTTGACATGCAGATAGTTTTTCTCTTATGGGTTTTTTGGCTTTCAACCAAAAAGAAATTGTGCTTCAACTGCATTCCTTACCCAAATAGAAAAACTTTTAAAATATCTGTATGGAGTCTGCTTCTGAGCCTGTTAGTTCATAAAACTATTAAAAGTATATACCAACAGCCGTTTGTAGACCGAATGCTATTAACTGTGGGGGAAGTCCCAGTGAGAACATAAACAGCTATATCCTGCTGCCCCAAAGCCTTAGCAGTCTGAAGCAAATATAAAATATTAAAGCACACCACCTAGTCTGAAAAAAAGGGAAAAAAGTAGGAAAAGTATTTTAGGGAAAAGTATTTCTGAGAAGATGCTTTTATCTGAAGTACTGAAAATTTTGTATACTAAATTTGTTAAACTTTTTGTTAATTTTTAACATGATTATTCACTTTTGCCCTCTTAATGTATTTTATTTTGTTTAAATTTACAGTTTTGTGCAGGTGGATTTTAAAACATTATGCTTGAATTATAGGGAACAGAATATTCTGGAGAAAGTTGTCTTTTTTTGAGCGTATAGATATATATGTGTGTCTGTGTGCGTGCATATATATCTATATATTCACACTCAGCATTACCTGTATTTTTTTTCTTTCAACCTATAAAATGTCTTTACGGCATGAAGAAATTTGCTTATAATGCCTGATTAGAAATTTGACTCTATCTTTCCGTAATATTTTGTTATGCAGATGTTATGCAGCATCATATATTGACTTACATATTTACACATTTTTTAAAAAATTATTTGTCTCTCAGACATTGATGTTTTAGCAGATGACCTTGGAGCAATAGAACCGGAAACATACGAAGTTCCAGGTACAATTCAGTTTTCTCCAAACTCTGCTATACTGATTTTATGGGTGTTTTTCTTGTCATCAGCCAGATATTTGTCTTCTTACTGGACACCTTGCTGTCATCTTCTGCAGGCATATTTTCTACCTGGACTAATAGTTTCTGCATGACCAATTATATTATCAAAGAGTCAATCAGCACTAAATGCTTCCTAACGAACTATGCTTGTACTGGCTTCTATACATCCTAATTTATGTTAATGTTTTATGGAATTTGGCCTGGATTAAACCAATAAGCATCCTTCATGCTGCACTTGATACCATATAGGAATTTTCTTTCTTTTGTTTCATTAGTGCCTCTCTCCCTGCAGTTTTATTATCAAATCTAAAACATAAAAAGACAGCTCTGTTTAGGAACTTTAAACAGATATCACAGTTTTTTATTGTCTGAAAAGTATTTTCTTCTGCATATTACTAGTTCTCTATAGTCCTCAAGCCTCTTCCATTGGCATCAGATATTGATTTTGTTTTGGACTAGGCCTCGTTGGCTAAATGATAGTTCTGGATTTTGCAGCATTGCGTAATGCCAAATAAGTCAGAAAATAATTTTGTTTCTGTTAAATACAGCTAATACAGCTTGGTTCCATCTTTGTGAGAGATTGCTGCATTCCAGCTACCAATTTGGAATTTGTGCTGCTACACTTCAAAAGAAAAAAGAGTAGTCGCTGTAACTCTGGTACTGCGTGTTAAGTGTGGTGCATCCTATTGAATATAGTTACAGCATCTCAAATAATTGCAAGCACAGCAGAAAAGAATCTAAATTCCTTAGCCAATCTATGAAAAGTAGTAAATTGCCTATTTCTGTGCTGCTGTTAAATGAATGTAAATATTTTTCCAAGCCTGTTTTCTGGCTACCGTAGGCACTGGCTGTAGATAAGCACTAGTGATTCTTTCTGTACATTAATAATGATGCTACTTCAGAGTTTGGAGGATTAGGGAAAATTATATTTTGGATTCGTATTAAAAGAGCCATTCAAAAATGTTCCTAGCAGCTCATGGCTTTCATAGTTCTAGTATTTTTACTGTTTATAAGGTTTTAAAAGGTCAGTTTTCAATTAGATACATACCACAGAGCTACTTTCAACTGTTGGAAAAATCGTGAGTAGGAATTAAAATAGTAGAATATTAAAGATGTATCATTTTTTAATTTTAATTTACAGTTTCATATGAATATGATATGGGTGGGGAAAACACAGAAAGAGAGCCAGAAGCTCCAGGTTTGTCAATTTTCATAATTTCAATTTGCAATGTAATCACTGTAATCACTAATGCCTTTTTTAAAGTGTTTCAAAGTCATGTGCTATATTCACTCCGTGGTTACACTTTATTTTCAAATACTTTTTCAGAATTCAAAAGCTCTATTTTTTGTAGTGCTGGTTTTGCAGCTATATTACTATTATAATTGTGAACACAACATGCCATGAGATTATGAACTTACATGAGCTTTATTTTGTTGTGTGAATAGATCTCCAGTTTAATCAATGGATTTATGTCCTATTTATACTCTGAATTTTAAGCCTAACTATAAATGCATGCAAAGTTTTAATATACTGTGTAACTTCTGTGTGTGTTTGCAATACAGTCATTGTTTTCAAATAAAACATTGCTATTCATTTAAGTTTGTTCTATATTCTTCATAAACTAAGAAGTATGTGACATTTTAACTTCTCTTAGGTGTTTTAACTATCATATAAGGATTTGAATAGAACATAAAATATTTAATGTCTTTATTTAAGGTGACACTGAGCTAGTGCTAGAAGATGCTATTGAACATCTTAAAGGTATGATCTAAAACCTATTCTAAAGGAACTTGAATTGAAAATATTCCCCAAACCAAGCCAACAAATGAATAAAAAAATGGAAGAATGTAAAAAAGTACATATAGCAGATGCACTTGCTACTACAAAAGACGAAAGTGAGAATAGTGACCACTCCCAAAAGGGTTAAAGAAATTTTATTAATAAATATCAGTATTAAAAGTAATCAAGAATGGATGCAAAAAAAGGTGTTTCTTTAAAAAATAAATCTGGAAATATATATCTACCGAAATGGCAGTTCTATAGGAAAAAAAGAAAGTAAATTTAAGATGGTCTGTTTCTGAAATTCATCAAAGTTCATGCTTGTTTATAGCAATTCATTATTCACAAGACTTTCCCTTACCTGTGTGTCAGCTTTGTTCTTTTATGCTGTGTGTAAGTTTTATCAGCATAGAGCTCAATTTCACCTTTGCTGTGAATTGCATGTTTCCTTAGCTGTTGAGGACGCTCCAGAGGAGCTATATGAAGTCTTAGAGCCAGGTATGTATTTTGCAACTGAGCTCTTGAGGTGTTTAAATGAAATAGATGCATTTTGAGGTGTGATATAAAAAGCGATAATCGTATGCTCTCTTCTTTTTAGTAGCTCCTGCTGTAGAGGAAGCTATTGAGGTTTTGGAAATTGATGAAAAGCCAGGTACGATTTTTTTAATAGATCACTGAAACCATATTTTTCTCGCTCTCTTATTTGTTAATTCTCTATGTGTCAACAATGCACAGAAATGTGCTCTGTGAAGTGCTTCCAGCTTCACTTCAAGGGGCGGCGTGTGTCCAGTCCAGAGATTGCAGCTCAGGAAGGCAGCTGTAAATTTTTGTATTTGTTGCCTTGGTGCCAGGGAATTTCGGATGAGCAGTGGGTCAAATGTAATGCAGAACTGTGCTCCAAGGAGATCCAAGCAGCGGTGAAGTTTTTTTTCCGAACACTCCTTTAGTTCAGTCAGAGCCAAGTGATTTACACAGGACTTTTGTCTGAGCAGTGGTGGTTGAATTTGATGGTATTTCATGTTTTTTTTCCATCTGAAAAGTGTGCTGTAATGTAAGAAATTGGGAGAGTGATCATTAGTGTTTCCCAGAAATAACAAATAATAACCAAAATCACTTCCCAAGTAACAGGAATTAAAGTCAATAATTAAGAAGGGCTAACCTATTGGACATAATACCTGTCCGGTGAATGGTTTTTTTTTGTTGTTGTTGTTTTTTTTTACTTTTAGATTATCATATTTGCTTTTTCTTAACTCTTTTTTGCTGTTTGATGCTGATTTGAGCAGGGGAGTGGTGGCAGCAGGAGAGAGATAAAAAGAAAAAAATTGTGGTGGTGCCATATAACTTTCATGTTTAATTTTCTCTGTAACAGTAGAAAGCAAACCTCTTGAAGAGAAAGTGGCGAGTGAGCCTGAAGAATCAGGTTTGTATAGTCCTATTTTCATGAATTTACTACTTTTTGATAGCAGTATCTTCCTTCTTTTATCAGGTTGGACTAGATGATCCCTAGAGGTCCCTTCCAACCCTAAGCATTCTATGATTCTATGATTCTATGATTTCATTTTTGTTTTTCTTGAGGGGGTGGGCAGTAAAAGGAGTTTAAATCACAGTACTGGAAATCAGCTGTGTTCTTTAATTTGAGAGTTTTGCTGGTGACTAGATTAAATACTCATCCTGTATTAAAAAGAATTGAATTTAGAAGTCAGAATATTGCACAGCTAAAACATAATAAATACGCATTTTTTTTTTAATCTCCATTCTCAGTGGCATATGAAACTGTGGGAGATGATTGGGGTATTTGCCCCAAGCATTAAATTAGTTTTTTTAAGTGTTTGTTAATAGGTAATGTCTTTCAAAATAAAAACTCTAAGCCTCTCACTCTCAGCCTCTCCCCAAGACCAGAGCTTTTCAAATTTTCCGTTAAAATCTTGCTCTATGTAGAAAAGACTTGCAAGCATTTTCATTATGAAATCTTCGTCATTTGTAGATCATTTAATGAATTTATGAGAAAAGATGCTGATTCTGCTGAACTTTATTTTTTGGTCTGTCTTGCGATGCTGGAAAATATTTCAGATTCCTCTCCCCCCCTTCCCACACACACACATACAAATCCTAAAAACAATTAACATATGTTGAATTCTTAATACTAAGTTTTAAGGCAGTGTAAATTATAATGTATTTGAATATTTTTATTGTCCTGAATAAGCTTGATGTCATATTATTTGTGTATTCTTATTGTCTTTAAAATGTTATGAATTTTTTTATTGATTTTTTTTTTTTTTTTTTTTAACAGAGGACAGAGTGCATGGGGATTATAATGAAGAACATGGTATGGAAACTGTTATCTTTAGTGAAAGGGCCATATTATAACACTTTTTTGTCATATTATTATCACTGAGAAGAAAATCCTGACTTCCACCTTTGGGGTAGAAGTCCAGATCCCATAGTTTTAGCGACCCAAAGGCACATTCAGCCTATTGCCCACTTCTCTCTCCCCTTACCTTGCTTTTCTGCCTCAGCTGTGAAGCCCTTGAAAAGATGTGTGAGTATAGATGAGATGTAAAAGATAGACAGACCTAGCTCTTTTCCCAAGCTTATGGTTTATCCTCCTTTCCAGGAGAATCTAATAATTTCTAATCAGAAATCACCTCTGCATCTCACACCCAAAGATAAGGAGGACTTGGAGGTGCAACTGCTTCCTATGTAGTGGTGAGATGAGCAGAGGACTCCTTCACAGACCTGTCTCCAGGAGAATCTGTACATGCCTTTCATGCAAGGTGGTCATAGAGATTCCTAAATCAAAATCTTAATTTTGTGATTAGACTGATGAAAATAATAGGTAGTTCCATTCGTTTTCTAAAGAGGATATTCCAAGATCGTTGATTGTCAAAAAATATATATTTGGCCACTAAATTGTCAGACTTTGACCCCTCCCGTAAAAATGTGCTTTTAGCCATATGGATAATGAAACACATTTTTTTTTTCCTGTAAAAGAGCAGCAGAAAAGAAGGCATGGAGGTCCAACATGGAGATGTTAATTTTTTTAAATCTCAAATGTAAAGTTTTTGTTGTGACATTAGCTTCAGAACTTCAACAGTTTGCTTTTACCTGAGTCCCTGTATATTCTGGTTCTCTATCACACGTATTTCTCCTCTAATGGCAGATCCCTTTCTCTACTCCTACCTCTTCTTCTCTACCTCCTTCTTTCTTCTCTCCCTGCCTTTCTCCCCACCTCTCTCTCTTTCTCTCCCTTCTTACTTCTCTCTCTCTTCTCTTCCTTTTTCCCCAAATTTTATTTGCTCAGTTAGATATGCCAAATCATTAACCTTATGTTCACATTTGGTATTTATGTGTGGAATTTCTCCTAATGATTCCAGTCTGTCTAGTCAGGCCCCCAGACTGGAGAAGGTCTCTGAGAGCATTATTTTTATCAGTAAAGAAATGAGTCAGATGCCTAACATCCATATTTACAAGGTAGGCCACAATAATTTTAGGATACTTTTTGTAAATCTGTCATCCAAGAACTTTATTCTTTTGTTTTTCAGAACCAGAACATGAGGAGGAGACCGAGAGCCAATCAGTCTATACAGGTAAAGACAATATATCTATAGGTGACATTTAAAAAAATCTAATTAAAAATTAATAAAAAAAAATACATTCATATGTAATTAGAATGGAAATATATCTAAAATAAGTATTACTGGAATATAAATAATAAATTTTAAGATCAGATTTTCTTTTGAGGGGAGTAAAGAGAACATTACACAGTTTCAGTTTTTATGTTCTATCCCAATATATTACCAACTCTGGAAAAGTTGCTTTACAGTGTCTGTGGTGTACAGGTTAAGTCTTTTACCTATGAATTGAGACAAGACTTCCTTAAGGATACATCCTTAAGGTCTCCAGGTTTAAGGTCTTGAGACTAAATGGAAATATGAGTTTCCTGGAGGTACAGGGAAAACAGAGTACATGGGGCTTTCTGCAAGCATTTGGAACACAGTCGTTCATCCTAGACCTTCACCCTGCTGGCTACCAGGAGTCTTGCTCTAACCCTGTAACCCCTGCTTACTGCCTGAAGTTCACAAAGAAGCATTTTGCAGGAAACACATTCAAAATCCACAAGCTGCCAATAGTATCTCTGCTTTGATGGATACTTTTTGCTGATGGCCTCTGTCTAACAGAAGTACTACACAAAATAAGGTCTGATTTGCAGCCCTTCCTCTGGGTCCTGTATGCTTTCTTGTCGTGAAGTAGCAGCCCTTGTCGGGGTCGTCTCAGATGGAGGGTTGGAAAAGGCACAGTTGTTCAGTTTAGAATGAAATCAAGAAATGTGCTAGTATAGATAATTTGGAATATCTATTCCATCTCATTTGTGTTTGAGGAAAGTCAAATGTATTAAAAGGGGCAATTCAGAGTATGAAATTATTTATATATATGTATGTATCTATTTTTTTCCCTGAAATCCAGAATTTAAATTGAAGGACTCTCTGGTTGGACTTGCTTGAACAGGAAGAAAGACAGGGTTCCCCAGAAAGTGGTACTCTTATCTAAGTTTAGGATTGTCATTGTAAACATTTTAGGAGAGAAACTTATAAAATATAAAACTTATCTCTGTGGGAAGTTGTATATTCAACTCACGATATTTGCTGGTTGTTCTGCAGCAGATTTGTGTCCTATCTGAACCTCCTGCTCTAGCCTCTGTTGAAATAGGCTATTGGATTGATTAGGCATCGGCAGAATCCTATATGGCAATTCCTATTTTTCTCTAAAAATACATACTAAAAAAAATTAAAAACTGCAAACCCCTATGTAGGAATTAGGTGGACAGGAGAAGTGTTGGAAAAGAAGGAAGAGGAGATAAAATGCCAAACAAATTAGCTATACACACACACACACACACAAATATATATATGTATATATATATATTTATAATACTACCCCTTGCAATTAATTGAAAGATTATGTGTTTGTATCCTTGGACTACGTGGAGTTAGAGACTCAAAAAATGAAATCAGGAGTTGAATCACTTTTGAGGCACTTCTTTCTTCCTATATTACATTGCATCACAAGGATAAAAGCTTTTAATAATATGCCACAATCATCAACACTCCTCCTACTCCTATCATTACTTTCATCTGTCTTTGCAGACCATGTTTTATTCTTGAATTCTGTTCTGACTTCTTTCTGCAGTGGTAGAGTAGACAGTCCAGTAACAATGGGAACAGGAGTGTAACAAAACATATTAATAAACCCAATCAGTGTGAATAAACTTTATAAAGGCAAATGTATTTTCAAAACTAACATTTTAAATACTAAAAAAATATTTTAAGTTGACACTGCTCTTGTCTTGCTTGACATCCCCTTGAGGTAAAGGTCTTTTAGCTTAAAAGATAATGACTCTGTCTGTGTGTTTTTTAATACATCCAGCAGCTGCAGTTGATAAAGCAAAAGACCAGAGTAGTCACCATTCCCAAAAGGGTTAAGGATTTTTTTCGTAATAAAAATCGATTTTCATAGTCACTGAGATTTTTGTCGAGTTCTAGGCCCCGCAGTATAAGAGGGATGTGGAGCTGCTGGAGAGAGTCCAGCGGAGGGCCGCAAGGATGATCAGGGGCCTGGAACATCTGCCCTATGAGGAGAGGCTGAGGGAGCTGGGCCTGTTCAGCCTGGAGAAGAGAAGGCTGAGAGGGGATCT